CCATGTGATTCTTTTTTATTTTTTAATGTATATGTTTTCCCTGCATGTATGTAGATGTACCACATGTATGTAGTATCTGAGGAGGTCAGAAGAAGGCATCAGATCCCCTGGAACTGGAGTTATGGGTGGTTGTTAGCTGCCATGTGGATGCTGGGAATTGAACCCAGGTCCTTTGCATGAGCAGCCAGTGTTCTTAACTGCTGTGCTATTTCTCTAGCCCTAGTAGTATGATTCTTAAACTAGCCTATAACACAGAAAGGCAGCTTAACCCCTCAACCTGGTACTTTCTTTGACTTACTATGGCATTGTGTGAATATTTTTTCTCATAATGTGATTGAACAGATTATCTACATCAATCAGAACATAGATGTGATAATATTTTATTTATTTTATGTATATGAGTGTATTGCCTGCATGTGTGTAAGTGCACTGTGTTGTGCAGTGCCTGCAGAAGTTAGAAGAAGGTGTTGGATTCCCCTATAACTGGAGTTATAGATGGTTGTTAGCCACCATGTGGGTACTGGGAATCAAACCTGGGTCTTCTGCAAGAGCAGCCAGTGCTCTTAACTGCTGAGCCATTTCTCTAGGCTCAGAGCATAGATGTGATAGTGCTTTGTTAATTTTTAAACACTGTACAATTATATAGTTGTTAGATGGCTGCTGTTTGGAAAAATCACACTTTTCAGTAGTGTGGAAGATATAGGGTAAATGATCTCAAATACAGATCATTAGTGTATCAACCTGAGAACTTCGCTAAATATCAACAGTACCATTTCTGTGTTTTCAACTTTTTTGAAGTTATTTATATTAAGTTTAATAATGTGCTAACTAAAGGAAAACAAACTCAGTTTCTCCTACTATATGTTGCACAAAACAAATCACTTCTGTGATCTTGAAATGTGTGGCCTGAAGCAGATTCCAGCTGTGTGTCTGCCAGTATGTTTAATTCTGGCACTGTCTACCTAGAGATTGGATCAGGTACCTCATATTGAGAGATCAGTCCCACCAGATGGCTTCCCACTTCAGACAGCAATAGAAATTCCCCAGCCTCTGGAACTTCTGATCAACTGGCTGTCAGTTGGGGTTCCTACTACACCATCCTTAGGTTCAGTTTGCTAGTCAGCTCACATGCTAACTAGTTTAATTTAAAGGATATTTTATAGGATAGAAATAAATACTGCTGGGTTTGGCAGCACATACCTGTAATCCTAGCACCTGGTAGGCAAAGGCAGTTGGATATAGTAAGTTTGAGATCAGCCTGGTCTATATAGCCAGGAATGATACATAGTGAGATCCTATCACAAAAAAAATAAAGAAATAAAAAAAGACAACAACAAAGGAACAAATAGCCAAATGAAGAAGTCCATAAGATGAGGTTTGGAAAGATGTTGGGCCTAGGAACTTCATCCCATGGAGCTGGAGTGCACCTCCATCCCAGCTCATGGATGGCTTCTTGTTCAGCTTTCTGCATGCCTCCCATATGTTCAGCTGTGCAGAAGTTCCCTGAACCTTGCCTTTTTGATTTTTTAAAAGTATTTTATCTATTTATTCATTTTTATTTTATGTGTATGAGTGTATTGCCTGCGTGTATGTGAGTGCACCCGTGTCGTGCAGTGCCACGGAGGTCAGAAGAGGGCTTCAGATTCCCCTGGAACTGGAGTTAAGGACAGTTTGTAGCCACCATGTGGGTGCTGGGAATCAAACCCGGGTCCTCTGCAAGAGCAGTCAGTGCTCTTTACCACTGAGCCACCTCTTCAGCCCCTGATTTTTTATTTTTATGGAGACTAAATTATAAAAACGTGTTTGAAACTGGATGACTGTGTGACAGTGTGACTAGGCAGAATAGGTATAGTCTAGTGCTAGGAGACTGCATAGAAAAACCAGCAGGGCCTATCTGTCCAGATTCTTCTTGACCCCTACAGCATTCCCTCCTCCAAGCTTTGACAGAACTTCTGCCTAAATGGGTCTTATGATCTACCACACAAGATAAATCAGCGAATGTCTTTATGGCCAGTCCAAATACGAAAGGATAGGGGATGCTTAAAGCATAGTTTTTGTTCCTGCAACTTGCCTACAGGAGGAGAAATTGTAGCTTCTATGACCTTCAATGGGGAGAAAAAGACAGAGGAAGGTTGTGGTGTCTGAGACCTGAAGTGCCTCAGCCTCACAAGAGTCTGTCCAGGACTGGAGTGCAGCTCATCAGTAGAGTGTTTGCTTGCATGTGCAAGACCCTGGGTTCTAGCCTCAGCACTGTAGAAAGAAGACAAGACTAAAAAAAAGGACTGTCTTCCATCCTAACTGCTCTGAAGCCAAACTGAACCAAGACTGTAGTTCTACAAGCCAGGAACCATGGATGAGAGCCAAGGTTTTTATAAAACCAAAGCAACTATACGTGATGTTTTTATGGTTTCTGTTCCTTTCTTATGAACAAAGGTGCTTCCTGCAGTTTGCTCTCTCTTCAACTTGCTTCTAAACCAGAAGGTTATTTTTTCCCTTTCTTCCTTTTTATTTCTTAGGATCACTTGCACTAAGAAATTATGGGGAGGTGGGGGCGTGGCAAAGTCAAATGTTTTAGAAAACTGAACTCTGATTCTCTGGGTGATTTCCATATTTATGGGAAGTAGTATTATAGACAGTTGCCAGGTAAGGTCTTGGAAATAGCAGTCCAGCATAGCCTGCTGCCCAGCAAGGCCAAGGCCCTTCAGGGTCTTTGTGCTTAGGAATGCCACCGTCTTATGCAGGTACACTGGCATTCATGCCAGGTTTCTGTCCTGGCACACTGCATGTGGAAAGGTCAGCAGTAGAGAGGTGTATTCCCTCCCCACCCCTCCCATGGGACACTGTGCAATCTGAAATTGTACTGGGAATGGACATTGATTTCTTTTGTGTCTGTCTAGTATGCTAGATAGACATATTATATACTTGGTGTCTTACTTAAACCTATGATGAATTAAATGGCTTCTGTTTAAGATGAAATTTGGAGGGGTGGGAACAGGGTCTCACTCTAGCACAGGCTGACCTGGAACTCAAAATGATTCTCCTTCCTCAGCCACCAGAGTGCTGGCATTATAGGCATGAGTCACCACACCCAGCTTAAAGTGAAATTCTTTTAGAACTCTCAATGAGTAGTTTCCCATCTATTCTTGAAGTGCTGGGGGTTGAACCCAAGGCCATGTGTGTGGTGAAATACTTTTGTTTGAGACCCAGTCTCATGTTTCCCTGACTGACTCCAACCTGCTATGTAGCTGAAGATGGCCTTGACCTGCTGATCCTCCTGCTTCTACCTCCCAAGTGCTACCACACTTGGCTTTTCCATTTTTTTGCAATTTAAGCTTCTGTCTTTTATGATCTGTTTTATATAAATCTATATCAGATTAGGAAATTGCAGAAACTTCAGAGATGATTAAACAAGAATTTTTTTAGTGTTCTCAGAGCATATACAAACTTCCCAGAGTATTGCCTAGGTGGAAAATGATTTGTTGAAGGATACTTAAAGAAACCCTCTGGGCCTGTCAAGGTGGGGTAGAGCAGAGGTGGGAGAGCGGGATTAAGCCCCAGTAAACCACAGGTCTTTATAGAGTTTTCCTGTGAATGACAGCATGTGTAGACCTCAGCCTTGCTTTTCAAAAGTTGAGAATCAACTGGGCATGGTGGTGCATGCTTTTAATCCCAGCACTCCTATGGATCTGTGTGTGATCAAGGCCAGCAGGGTGTACATATCAAGTTCCAGGCCAGCTGGGGCTACAGAGAGACCTTGTCTCAAAAAAAAAAAAAAAAAAAAAAAAAAAGAGAGAGAGAGAGAAAGGGGTAACAAAGAGGTTTGGGGAGAGTGGTTTAAAATTGAATTTAGAAGGTGCGATGGTTCATATTGATTGTCCAGAAGAAAGAATTGGTAGTGCTGTTTGCTTTTTTCCTTTTATTTAGTCTTGAACCCCAGCACTAGCAACAAAAAATAATACAGAAGCCAAAGTAAACAAAAGTACTGCCCCAAAGAAACAGCTATAGTAAAGGTTCTTATAAAAGATAAGGAAAATGTATATATGTCAATAAAAAATGGCATGTGTGTGTGTGTTTACGAGTACCACATGTGCATGTAAGGATTGTGGAGTCACTTCTCTTCCTGACCTAGTGATCAAACTCAGCTTGTCAGGCTTGGTACTTTTATCTGCTGAGCCATCTTGCCAGTCCAGGAATTCATAGGACAAGGTGGCAACAAATCAAGAACTTCAAAAAAGTGCATCTAACTAACAGTGTAGCACTGTATTTCTAGCAGATAGCTTAAGGAAATCATTAGAAAAGATGAAGTTCATACAGACAGCATCACACAGAAACCCTAGACACAGCTCTGACATTATGACTGAGCTAATGTAGCACATCATACGTCAGTTGGCCCTATCATCTTCCTAGTGAGAAGAGACTGGGGAGTGTGTGTTTGTGTGCTGTGTGTGTGTGTGTGTGTGTGTGTGTGTGTGTGTGTAGCTGTATACATTGGATGTCAGGAAGGTGGTGTGCACAGTGTTGCTAATTATTCTTTACTTTAGATGGTTGAACAACTGGTGAACTTTTTTCTCCTTTTTGCTTATCAATACAGTGTATTTTATTTCGTTTTGCTTATTTATTTTTGAGATGTAGCTCAGTCATCAGACTTTTGGCAATCCTGCCTTGCCTCCCAAGTGACATGTATTATTTCTTTGAAATGCATATTAAAGAAAAACAGCATGAGACTCAGAGTAAGGATCAGTTGCTTACAATGATGATTAAGAATGCATTTCCGGCACACACCTTTAATCCCAGCACTTGGGAGGCAGAGGCAGGCGGATCTCTGTGAGTTCAAGGCCAGCCTGGTTATCAAACCCAGAACTGAGGGAAAAAAAAAAAATTAAAAAAAAAAAAAAAAAAAAAAAAAAAAAAAAAGCATTTCCGGCAGCGGGTGCTGAGAAGCGCTGGCTCTGGCCAGGCCATGGCTGAGCGTCCCTGCGCTTCCAGGTGAGAGGCTCCCACATCCGTCGACATGCTCCCTGAGAGCGCTCCTCCTTGTGGAGGCAGGATGCGCTGAGGACTGCGAGCACGCGCGCGTCCCGGTGCCATCGTGGGTCCCGGCGCCGGATCCAGACTCCTACATGCTCCCTTGGCGTCCCTGATGCTCGCCTGCCGCCTTGCGCCACGCTTGATGTGCAGAGACCAGCCGGACATCATGATCCTAACACAAATTGAAGCCAAGGAGGCTTGCAATTGGCTGCGGACAGCTGGTTTCCCCGAGTATGCACAGCTTTATGAAGATTTCTTGTTCCCTATTGATATTTCCTTGGTCAAGAGAGAGCATGGTTTTTTGGAGAGATGCCATTGAGGCTCTGTGCAGGCATCTAAATACTTTAAACAAGGGTGCAGTGATGAAGCTGGAAATTAGTCCTCACGGGAAGAGAAGTGAAGATTCAGATGAAGATGAACCTTGTGCAGTAAGTGGCAAGTGGACTTTCCAGAGGGACAGCAAGAGGTGGTCCCAGCTTGAGGAGTTTGATGTCTTTTGTCTAAAGCCAGGTTCCCCAAATGATTATCACTTGAAGAGTGCTGCAAGTCATGAGAGCATGCTGACAGAGCTCAGCGAGCGCCAGGAGGTGTCCTCTGTCCGCAGCCTCAGCAGCACCAGCAGTGTCCCCACCCATGTGCCCTATAGCAGAGATGCTGCAACACCCCCGACTAATTCCGTTATCAGTGCCTGCTCCTCCAGCCACTTTGTAGGCAATGATGACTGTTCTGCAGCCTGCTTCCCAGAAGGAACTGTCCAGCTTCAGTATGAAAGGCCATGAGAAAAACACCCTAAGTCCAAGACGCGAGCCTGCTGAAACGGATGGAGAGCTTGAAGCTCAAGGGCTCTCACCACAGCAAGCACAAGGTACCGTCCAAGTTGGGGCTGATCATCAGTGGGCCCATTCTCAGGAGGGTATGAACGAGGAGAAGCTGAAGTAGCTGAACTGTGTAGAGATCTCAGCCCTCAATGGCAACCACATCAACATGCCCATGGTACGAAAAAGGAGCTTTTCAAACTCCATGTAGCCCAGCAGTAGCAGCAGCCAGTCGGAGACAAACAGCACTGTCAGCACACCCAGCCCTGTCACCCGGACACGGAGCCTCAGCACCTGTAACAAGCGGGCGGGCATGTATCTGGAGGGCTTCGACCCTTTCAGTCAGCCCACTTTTAATAACATGATGGAACAGAACTTTAAAAACCAAGAGAGCTACCCAGAAGACACAGTGTTCTACATTTCTGAAGATCATAAGCCTGGCACCTTCCCCAAGGCCCTTTCCAATGGCTCTTTGGGTCCCTCAGGAAATAACAGTTCTGTGAACTGGAGGACTGGAAGCTTCCATGGCCCTGGCCATTGCAGCCTACGGAGGGAAAACAGCGGTGACAGTCCTAAGGAACTAAAGAGATGCAATTCTTCTAGCTCCATGAGCAGCCGCCTGAGCATCTATGACAATATGCCGGGCTCCATCCTCTATTCCAGTTCAGGTGACCTGGCTGACCTGGAGAATGAGGACATTTTCCCTGAGCTGGATGACATCCTCTACCATGTGAAGGGGATGGAGCAGATAGTCAACTAGTGGTCAGAGAAGTTTTCAGATCAGGGAGACTCTGACTCAGCCCTAGACTCTGTGTCTCCTTGCCCGTCATCTCCAAAACAGATACACCTGGATGTGGACCACGACCGAACAACACCCAGTGATTTAGACAGCACAGGCAACTCCCTCAATGAACCGGAAGAGCCCTCTGACATCCCAGAAAGAAGGGACTCTGGGGTGGGGGGCTTCCCTGACCAGGTGCAGTAGGCACAGACTGAGATGGCATAGCTTCCAGAGGTCTCACTGGCCAAGCTTCAACTCTGTACCTCTGCAGATTAACTGCCAGTCTGTGGCCCAGATGAACCTGCTGCAGAAATACTCACTCCTGAAATTGACGGCTATGCTGGAGAAATACACACCTTCCAACAAGCATGGCTTTAGTTGGGCAGTGCCCAAATTCATGAAAAGGATCAAGGTTCCAGACTACAAGGACCGGGTATGTTTGGAGTCCTGCTGATTGTCATCATGCAGTGATCAGGACAGCCCTTGCCTCAGAGCATCCAGCAGGCCATGCATTACCTTCACAACCACTGTCTGGACCAGGTTGGGCTCTTCAGAAAATCTGGTGTCAAAACCCAGATTCAGGCTCTGTGCCAGATGAATGAAAGTGCCATGGATTGTGTCAACTATGAAGGGCAGTCTCATGTTGAAGCAGTATTTTAGAGATCTTCCTGAGCCGCTCATGACAAACTCTCGGAAACCTTTCTACAGATCTTACCAGTATGTGCCCAAGAACCAGCGCTTTCAAGCTATCAAGGCAGCCATTATGCTCATGCCCGAGGTTCTCCAGACGCTTCTCTACTTCTTGAGCGATGTCACAGCAGTTGTAAAAGAAAACCAGATGACACCCACCAACCTGGCTATGTGCTTAGCCCCTTCTCTTTTCCATCTCACCCTGAAGAGAGAGAATTCATCTCCCAGAGTAATGCAAAGAAAACTGAGTTGGGGCAAACCAGATCAGAAAGATCTGAATGAAAACCTGGCAGCCACTCAAGGGCTGGCCCACATGATTGCCGAGTGCAAAAAGCTGAACAAGAGCTGAAGCCCCTCACACTGGAGGTGTTAGGACACCTGAGTAACGAAGAACCTGCCGACTACCGACACTTCCTCCAGCACTGTATAGATCGCTTTTATAAGGCCATCTCTTCTTTAAAGAGAAGTTCAAAAGCTGGGTCAGCTACTCCAGTTCTGAATAAGCTGAGCTGTCTTATAAGAAGGTGAGCGAAGGACCCCCTCTAAGGCTTTGGAGGTCCACCACTGAAGCCCCTGCTCCACCTGAGGACATCCTAAGGTGCCTCCTGAAGGAGCAGCACCTCTGGGATGTAGACTTGCTGGATTCAAAAGTGATCGAAATCCTGGACAGCCAGACTGAAATTTATCAATATGTCCAAAACAGCATGGCACCCCACCCTGCCCGGGACTATGTCGTGTTGAGGACCTGGAGGACTAATTTACCCAAGGGAGCCTGTGCCCTCTTACCTCTGGATCATGACCAGGCACCCGTGGTGGGGGTGAGGGTTAATGTGCTCCTGTCCCGATATCTGATTGAACCCTGCGGGTCAGGAAAGTCAACTCTCCTACATGTGCAGAGCTGATCTAAGGGGCCACATGCCAGAGTGGTACACAAAATCTTTTGGACATTTGTGTGAAACTGAAGTGGCAAAGATCCGAGATTCCTTCTGTAACCAGAACACTGAAACCAAGGATACCAAATCTAGGTGATTACTGAAGCAAAGCACCTGCATCGAGTGCCTTGGTGATTACCTCTAGAGCCTTGCCAGTCCTTGAAAGAGTCCTCTTTGTCGGGGCCTGAAACAACAATGGAAATATTGACACTGACTAGAGCAATTCGATATATATTTTAAAGCTCTTCCTGTTTGTCTTGGGTCTGTGTTATAGACCTTGACTGGAATATGAGACTGCAAAAAAAAAAAAAAGTAGTAGTAGTACTTATTCCAATTGCTTCTGAGAAGCAAAACTCTTTAAATGCATTATGGGAGATAATGAAGAGATGTCATTCTCCTGTGATATCAACATATATGCACCTGTGTCATTTATGTACAGTGCATTGAGGGACTGATGTATTCACTGGAAGAGTTGGTACTTGTTGACAGGTTTTCTCACAGATGAACAAAGAACGGTTTGCACAGAGGAGTGTGAATGTGTGTTTGTTGCTGGCTGAATGGCACAGGTGTAGAGACGGATGCAGCGTCTAGTACACTGAGATGCTCCAAGGATGCTGATGCACCAGGTCCCATCTAACCTGGCATAGCTGACTACACAGGGACCCACCTAGGAGGGGAACCCAACTCCCTTTTCCATTTTCCCCCAGGTTATTTTAAGCATTTTTTTCTTCTCCACAAACCTTTACTTTCTCTTAAAAGTAATTGTAGACTTACCCTGACATTCATTTTAATGCAGTTTGTTTTAGACCTTATTGCAAACTGTGATGTAGTTTTAACCAGTAAGATTAGTTCAGGAATAAACATCTCCATCACTCCCCTTACTGGCTCCAAAGAAAGAAGGGTTTTTTTTGGATTTTTTTTGTTGTGGCTTAAGTGAGATGTAAAAACTGAATGCTAACACCCATAACCAGAGCATCAAAGCATTTTTTTTTTTTTTCGGTGCTGGGAATTGAACCCAAGATCTTGCACATACCAAGCAAGTACTCTATGCTGAATTTAACCCCAGCTCTGTTTTTACTTTTTATTTTGAGACAGTTTCACCAAGTTGCCCAGGCTGGCCTTGAATTCATTGTGTAGCCCAGGCAGGCCTTGAACTTGGGATCCTAGTGCCTCAGTCTCACAGTAGCTGGGAAAACAGGCTCAGCTCATCAAAACTGTTTACCTTTTATAATTCATAGCATCTTCATGTTTGTAGCATAAATTCTAAGATATACACGGGGACGTGGGAAACTATGTCCCAAGGAGATTTAACCCAAACACAGAAGGCTTTTTGTTATTGGTGATGGTAGTGGTGTTAACAGTATTCCTGAAAGCTACACGTTTATTTGAATTGAGTTTGTCCTCATGCACAAATAGGTTTTCTGGTTTTAGGACTTCTTGTTGTTTTCCTTACATTTCTTTTTCTTTTCCCTTATAATGCCCTCAAACTGTATTTTAATAGTAATGAGAAATGGTCATCGGAGTCAAAAACAAATGATGCAGGTTTTTGAACGGGTAGTCCTTATACAGGTTTTATTGTCGTGGTAAAGGCTGAGTCAAGAGACGGTATTAGTAAATTTATTTTATGTGGATCGAAGGGTGAATAATGTATGAATGCGAGCTGAGGAAGCATTTTTATTGTTATAACTTAGCTATCTTGTCAGTGTTATTTCAAAGGTTCTTTGAAGAATTGGGGGGGTTCAGAGTACAGTTTAAAATTTGAGTATTTTCAATATCAGTGTTGCTTGTGAAGATATGTGTATTCAATCTTGATGGCCTCCAGATTTGTAAGATTGTATACTGTATATACCAGTCCATTGAGAAACATGTACACATGTCTGTCCACTGTGCTTTCAAACATAGATAAAGCATGATAAAGGTTATTTAAAATATACTTGTATTTATACCTCAGATATTCTTTTGGGTTTTGTACCTCAAGGCTCCCCCTGCCCCCACATTGTAAATACACTTCACATGAATACAGTCTCAGTGAAATAATAAATGAATAAATAAAGGAAAAAGTTTATAATTTGTCCTATATCTGTACAGAGTATACTCAGTTAAGTGTACTATTAAATGTTTAAAGTAAGGGAAAAAGTCTGGCCTGCTTGCCTCTGCATTACATCTTCCTCCACTCTTAGAAATACAGAGTGCAAAACCTTGCAACCCAATGCCAACCAAAGCCCAAAGATAGATCATCTGAAAAATCGGAGTGTGAATCATTCCAAGGCTGAGCTGCATCTGAGCCATTCACCCCAAAACAGGAAACCCTGGTGAAGGACACCTGAGATTCTCTGCACACAAAGGTCCGTTAGGAAACTATGATAGAAACATTGGGAGAACAGGCAACAGCAACAAAAGATGCTGAGAAGTAAGGTCAAGGTCACTGGTTAATTCCAAAAAAGGTCTCTTTCCCATGTTTAGTTTCTCCATTGAAAGGATTCCTTATGTCTGACGGGAGAAGAATTCAGAGGATGTGAACATTTCTGAGAACTCTGTTCATATCACGTACAGTGATGTTCCACAACTTATGTGTGACCGGTGGTCTAGACTGTAAACTCTGAGGACAGGCGCATCTCCTGCACATCTCTGTAACCCTCTACAGCAGCTTTCAGTGTTTTGTACTTGTAGGCACCTAATAAATTTGTTATTTGCTAACGTTAAAAAAAAAATGCATTTCCAGACTGGTGAGTTGGTACAGCAGTTAAGAGCACTTGCAGCTCTTAACAGGGGACCTGAGTTTAATGCCACCTACATCAAGAGGCTCACAACAGCCTGTAAGTCCAGCTTTAGGGGATCCTGCCCTCTTCTGGTCTTGGTGGACATCCATACACATGGCACATACTCACACAGACAACACATACAACAAATACATAAACATGAAAAAATAATCTTAAAATTTCCTCTTCCTGTTTAAATGGTAAAGAAGCTGATCTGCAGTAGGTTGGAGAACTTTGGGGAATTTAGCATTGGAAAGTTTCTACCTCACCCTGTGTTTTTGCCTAGAAAGCATAAGGCTGTACATTTTTTCCCTCTTACTCCTTTTTGTTTGTTTGGGGTTGTTTTTATTGTTTTCATTTTAGAGACAAGTTTTTATTGTTTGCAAGGTTTCACCAAGGCTGGCTTCAACCTCTGAATGCTAGGAGTAGAGATGTGAGCCACAATGCCCTGCTCCTGTCAATTCTTAAATAAATATACACCGGTATAATTGGTAACTGCAGAATGTGGTTGGTTCCATAACAATCTCAGACCAACAGTTTATTTTCATTTCAGTTCAAATCTTTAGCTTGGGTATGGTGGTGCACACCTTTAATCCCAGCACTCTGGAGGCAGAGGCAGGTGGATCTCTGTGAGATCAAAACCAACCTAGTCTACATAGCAAGTTCCAGGCTAACTGGGGCTACAGGGTGACCCTGTCTCAGAGCTTTTTTTTTATTTTGATATATCACAGTGAAAGATTTATCGTCCTCTTTTTTTTTTTTTTTTTTTTTTTTTTTTCAAAAAAAAAAAAAAAAAAAAAAAAAAAAAAACAGAATCTTTGGCTTACAACTTGAGAAGCTTCTGGAAGAATCTGGATATTTTAAATTCACATTTCCCAGATCCTTACATTCACTTTTTCCTTCCTTTTGCCCCTCTTTAGAATCTCTCAGAATGAATGGATCTAGTGTGGCAAGTACATCACCCAGTGTGAAATCCAAAGAGGACCAAGGATTAAATGGCCGTGAGGAGAAGGAGAACCCATTTGCAGAGTACATGTGGATGGAGAATGAAGAGGATTTCAACAGACAGGTAGACATAGGTGGAAGGCCACTTACTGTCCCAGGGAACTGCAGGAGTCCTTTGTTCTGCTTGCATGGACATCAGAGTAGGCACAAAGTAGCTCTTCTAGTGTTGGCAGCCAAACACTTATGGGCTAAGCTGACATACCCAGGGAACTAGAATTATAGTTCCAGACTTTAGCAGCCAAAGGGTTATAGCTAAGTGCTCAAGTTAGAGTGTACTGTTCTGGGTCCCAAGACAGGGCCTGACACTCAGGAGCTAGAGTAGTCTTCAGCCCTAAGCAGCAACAGTCAGAGCTGGCTAGGGTTACAGCTCCTGAACCATCAAGGAGAAGCACTTCCCTGTTGTCTCCCACCCCTGTCCCTTCCCTTCTGCCATCTTGGGGTCTCCATCTTCTCTGTACTTCTACCCCAACATCCTTCATTGTCTCTGCTGCTTCTCTGGCGTTCTTCAGCTGCCCTCTTGCCTCCGCTGACATTGCTACTACCACTACCAAGGTGGTGGCTATCGCACTCTGCTGCAGTGCCCTACAGCTCTTTGTGTATCTCATTCTGGAAAGTCAGAAGATATGATACAGGTTACCAGCCAGGCCACGATTTCTTTTTCCTTAAGATACAAATCAAGATGCATGTTGTGAAAAACATTTTATTTTTATTATTTTTATTTTATGAGTGTATTGCCTGCATGTGTGTAAGTGCACCCATGTCATGCATTGCCCACGGAGGTCAGAAAAAGGTGTCGATTCCCTGGAACTGGAGTTACTGATGGTGGGTGCTCCTGGGAATGAACCCCAGGTCCTTTGCAAAAACAGTCAGTGCTCTTAACTGCTAAGCCACCTCTCCAGCCCCACAAAACATTTCATAACCCTCTAAAACTAGAAGTGATTGTCATTGTGTGTGTGTGTGTGTGTGTGTGTGTGTACATGTGTGCAGGTGCATATGTAGATGTACCTGTATATATAGAAAACAAATGTCAACACTGAGTGTCTTCCTCAGTCATCCTCCACCTTATTTATTCATTCATTCATTCATTTTTTTTTGCAGAGGTATAAAAATCTTAGAACCATTTTACTTCTGTTATCAGTATATTATAAGTAATTTTGCCTTACTCTTATTTCATTCAATAAAAGTGATGCTCATGTAGTGTACATTTAAATTTTTAGGTTTACAGTTAAATTGTTATACAATATTTTACTCAGGATAAACCCTATAAGACATAAAATTGAATGAGGTTTTAACCTTTAAAAAAGATCGCCATTTCATTATTAAAATACACAGTTTCATACAGAAAATTTCTTTTCTTTTTTTTTTTTTTGTCTTTTTTGAGACAGGGGCTCCTTGTAGCCCCAGCTGTCCTGGAATTCACTGTGTAGACCAGGCTGGACTTGAACTCACAAAGATCCGCCTGCCTCTGCCTCCCATGTGCTGGGATTAAAGGCGTGCGCCACCACGCCCGGCTTGAAATTCTCATTTTTAAAAAAAATTATTTATTTAATGACCACATACTTAGAAGAAGCATTTCATTACAACAGCATTGATATATTCAATAACAATTTCCTGAGCTAAGATGCATCTCTTTCAAAATTGGCTGTAAATTTTTAGGTTTATACAGTTGAATTATTACAGTTATACAGTATTATACTCAGTATAAACCCTGTAAGACATAAAATTAAATGAGGTTTTAACCTTTAAAAAAGATCTCCATTTCATTAAAATACACAGTTTCATACAGAAAAATTTATTTTAATGCAATTGACATTAAGATGTTTGCATATGCGTTTCTAATCTCTATACAGCTGATTATTACTAGTCACAGTTGGTTACTTTCTGAGCTGCTTGGCATCTGAGCATGGATATAAAGTCATCAGGTAGATTTCAATGGTAGTGTTTTTCATGTCTACTAATTATTAAGGAGCAAACTTTTATGCTTTGAAGAATTATTTTTTACCCATTATATTTAAAAAAAATTTTAATATTTACATGATTAGAAGAAGCTTTTCACTACAGCTTTAACATATTCAGTAACACATTCCAGAGCAAAAGTATATCA